GGCTGTGGCCAATTATGTGAACATCGGCTGGAGAGTATTCGTATTTTTCCTGAGGAAATAGCAATATAAAAAATTACTGCATCTGTTTTCATCAGCAACAGGGAAGAGTAAAAAGGGGCTGAAAAACTACTTTTAATTTGACTACAGACTCAGGAACTCTCTAGGATTTCAGCATCTGTTTGCCAGTTTAGGTACTTATGTCCAATGCATAGATTTTTTTCAGAACTCCTTATTCAGGTGCTGCCCTTATTTGGAGGCTGTTAAAACTCTAGACAGCTCTGCCAACAGGGTCCTGAGAGTCCTGAATTAAGATTCACAGGATGCTTATCCGGCTTGCAAGATTCAGCCGGGCAGGAACTCTTAGTTACACCTGGCAGGTCAGGAACCACGTGCAGCTGGAGGAGGACATGAGAGGAGAGATGCCTTTTTGGACAGTAATTCAGTGGTTGCAATGCAGATGTAGAGAGTGAGACGTGGGTCAGAGCACTCCTAGACCCAGCGTACTATCTATTTAAGTAATTTATAGTTCTTTTAGTGGAAATGTGTGTTGAAAGCACTTAGATTAAAAGAAGGCTTCAAACCAAGCATCGCTTCCCGTGTGACACTGGCCAAGAAAGGGGGGACATGGACACCTTCCGTAGATTTAGTCACTGTGCACAATGGCTTTCCCCTGAGGCAGCTGGCAGGGTCCTATTTGTCCCCAGGTGTCGTGACCCACGGGAGAGCAGTTGTCCTCCAGCGCTGCTGGCTGCCAGCTGGTTTTCTGGCATTCTTAAGAGCTGTTTGGTAGGTTCTGTCTCTGTGAAAAGGCAGTGTGCTGTCTCCGTCATCTCCGCATATTTAAAACTACACAGCACTTCACATCTGTTAACGTCTACGGAATAACTGGCTGTACTATGGGGATGTGTTGTAGCACTTCATATCCCTGAGTTGGCTAACCCTGCTGTTATGACAGTTCTTTAAAAAAAAAAAAAGTCTGTTTTCAGCACACCTTCTAAAATGATCACTGAGTAGAAGAAAATGTTTTCTGCTGGTTAGATTCACATTCATGAAAGTTCCTGAATTGTATTTCTTTCAGATCAGCATTATAACTATAACTTTATAACCAGAAGATTCTTACCATAAGAACATTTACAAAATAAGCTATTTCAGCGCCCACAACTCGGACGTTGTTTGATGCCTGGGTATACTGACATCTTGCGCCTTTTTTCCAGTTTATGCAGATGCAGTTCACATCTTCCACAGTAAGCATCCTCTGTTTTGTAAAACAAAAGTAAAAACCAAAGAGCTCCACAGTAAATACAATCTGGAATTGATTCAGCTCAACTCCTAAAAGTTGCATGAATTTGTATGAAAACATTTTAAGAACCAAAACCTTAGCATATATATGTGGTCATGCCTGCTCACAGGCGTACGTGTGCTCACACAATGCTGAAATAGGGACACAACACTGAAATAGGGTGGTTTGCCATAGTAATGGCCACGCCATCATTTCAAATACCCATAGCAGTATTTTTTGCAGAAGGGAAAACAATATAAATACTGATACTTTTAAATTTTTAATTTCAATCAAACTTTGTATGTAACACTAAATAAGAGCTCTACTCATGTACAGATTCACTTAAGTGATTTAAAAATACTTTTAAAATTCAAATTCAGTTAGAACTTATATTTTTGATGATAAAGATTAAGAGTGTTTTTCTGATAGAGATTTGTAAGAAGGAGAGTGTCTGCGTTTTTATAAGAGGGTGCATAAATTGCTGGTGTCACTGAATATTCATTTCAGATTTATGGCTTTATTTGGGAATATGTATATATAGGCAGATGCTTTATTTTCTACCACAGAAGCTTTGTTTTTCTCCTCTGAGCTGGATTGTTTGGCTAAATGTATTTTGCTTTAGCAGCTTTATTTATTTATTCGTCTTTGCTTTATGTTCAGACATTATAAAGCATCCAAAACAAGTTATAACTGGCAAAGGACAAAAAAAGACAATAGAAGTGTCTGTGGCCATGTTAGAAGTGGTAAAAATAAATGTGCAGGTAGGTTTGTTACTTAATGGGAAGGAAAGTAAATAACAGAGACACATGGGAGGGCTGATGTATTCACAATCCCATTTGCTCCACTTTTTACTGAAAAGATTCACTGAGACCAATTTTTTTTTTTTTTAAATTTAAATAAATTGGAGTATTGTGATAAAACATAGGCCACCATAATAGAGAAAGAACTTAAATATTTATCTCATGCCTCTACATCCTCATGAAAATTGATCAAAAGGATTTAAGGGACTAGCTAAGCAAAATGTGAGCTATCTTGCTGATTATGAGGTTCTAGAAAAAAAAATCTCTATTCTAAGAGTGGAAAATGGGAGACTGAGAATTATAAAAACATCTACCTGCTTCTAATACTTTGAACAAATTATTAACTAACAAATCCAACAATCATTCCTCGATGTTCATAAAGTGATAATCAACATAGATTTTTTTTTTTTTCAACAAGAAACTGTCAAGCAAATTTAATTTATTTTCTTTTGACCTAGTATCAAAGAGAAGCAGGTAACGGGGATGCAATAAATGTGAAATACCTTGATTTTAGTGAACTTTCACATTGTTTCTCATAGTGTTCTCATAAGTAAAACAGGAATATAGAATTTAAACAAAATTGTAGTTGTGTGAATAGTTAGTTGAAAAACCTTATCCTAAAATGCCATCAACTGGTATTTTGCTCTGTGCTGTATAACTAGGAGCTTTCATTACCTGCAGCTGCAACAGAAAGCACGTTTATAGGATTTGAGAAGACCACAAGCTGGAATTGCAACTTTGTTTGGGGACAGGATTAAGAAATAACTTGGGGAATTAGCACAAAAATCAATAAAGCAGAGTGCTTTACTTCATTCACTGTTCATAGCAAGTCCTAGACTGAAAGCTTTTTTCGAAATGATCCCCTTGAGGTCCCTTCTGGATGTACATTTCTACAGCTTTATTGCTTCTGTTGATGGTCAGCCCATGCCCTCAGCCTCCAACACCCGCGTGGCAGCCCATACCTTTGTGATGGACTTTCCAGAAACCTGTCTCTTGACTGGAGAAATATGATGCAATAATTATGAGTCTGCAGTTATTTCTGGAATCGCCCTAGTTCCTAAGCAGTATCTTGCGCCAGGGTTTGTGTTGTTTTTACCAAGAAAAAAGACGCTTACTGAGCCAAATCCTGTTGTCACTTACGTCACTAAAGAGAAGAATTGAATGCATTTTATCTCATGCTTTTCCTCAAGGTGCAGAGCTACATATTTAAGTTGCTAACAATTTGAAAATGTGGCCTCTTTCCCCTTCTTACCACTACAAGTACTGTGAGAGAAATTGGTTAGAAATAGAGAAAACAGACAATTTATAGGAATGTGTTTATAAATGCAAACTAAGGAACTTCACAGGGACAGGATTTCCCTGTGGTACCTACCTTGCACATGTCTGACAGCCAGTTTTCTTCTCCATTATCTATAAATCCGTGTACTATAAATCTGGTTATCCTACTTGCATTAAAATTTGAGTACTCAATTGTTGAGGCATCAACTGCAGAGATCTCCTGTTGTAGATATTAAATTAAAAAAACATTTAAATCTGCTTTCTGTAAATAGTTTATCAAAATTGCAAAGACCTGAACTATGCTTATCTGTTAAACTCCTCTGCAGGTGTTCACATGATTACGGCTTAAGGTCTGTATCTCCATTCAAAGCAAGCTTTGACACTTATCTTAGAGCAGCCACGACTTTACTTTTAATGTATTTTCATCTTATCTGTGGAAAAAAATTACCCAATGATTTTAAAAATGCACAGTTTCCCAGTCCTTCTCAGTGGCCATACGGAAAACATGGGGGAGTGCTGCTTTGTGAGGGCTGGAGGAGGGTGAGAGTTCTGCCCCAGAGACCCTGCCAAGGAGCTGGAAGAGCTTGTCTCTTGAATACAGTGGAGATTTGGCCATTTCTAACACTTGCCAGGAACGCAGCTGGAGTCTGTGTTTATTTACTCTTTTTGCATGTGATTTACTAATATTTAAACTGCAATAGTTCTTACTTGAAAGTCAGTAGGATTTTCTCTTGTGTACAGGAGGAATTGAACGTCTATCTTTTGTGGATCCCAGGGTAACTTGTGGACTGGTCTTTCTGTAGTCCCAGACCATGGTATATCATCTGAGAAACATCCAAGCCTTTCATAGCAAACTTCTTTGCCTGAGGTACACAGATTGGATCAACAATATGTGAATGAGCAAAGAAGTGGAGCAGGCTAGTCATAACTCATAGCATCTCTTCTCTGGAGGTCTCTTGGTCTCTTGAAAATCCTATGGTTTACAGAAAGCAAAGACCAGCCGTTGCCCTCTCTTAGATCTTCAGGCTACAGTTTACCCCACAGAAAGAAACCACCCTATTGCTCATCAACAAAATATTCAGTGGAGTTCCTCCCTGGGAATCCTGTACCATACCTTGGGTATCTTTCCCCAGCTGTGTTTTGCCTAAGGCAAAGACAGCTGGTGAGTTTCTCCTAATACCAAGCCAAGACATTGCAAATAATCAGTAATAACTTGAGACTGCGCTGAACAGCTGACTACACTGTACACGAGAAGTCTAATCCTACACAAGCCAGTAGCTTCTGCTGAATATGAAGCTATACCCTCGTTAGACTGCCGCCGCCCCTGGCTTTTTCTCCATTTCCATCACTAAAGAAGAGTAAAGCAAATAATTTCCTAGCTTTGGTAGAGCAATAGCTTTGCTCTGAGATAAAAAACGCCAGCATTTCTTGCACAGTCCTAGGGTGGGATTCCCAGAGTGTAGAAGAGGAAAGACAATACACACACACACTCGTCTCACCATTCTTGTATAGGAAAGTGAAGCACAAAACCTCAATCAATAAGTTTTAAGGCACCATAGTGTAGAATAATATCTCACAAAATATAGCAGCATAGAAAGGCTATATAAATACTAACCCCATATGCTTACCTTCTGCTGCGCTGAGCAGAAATAGCGCAAGTATCCAAACTCCAAGCATCTAGAACAGTAGAAAAAGAAGCAGCTAGGATTTGCTAACCCGCTTAATTAATAAGCGCACTTAGCTTTCTGGTGCTGAATTTTCCCAAGGTGAAAAGGGTGCTGCATCTGTCTTCTCTGCATCGTATGACTGCCGTATATATGAGACGTGTGTGAGTCAGCTTCATGTTTGCTTGCTCCACTAGAGATTGTGGGGCTCCTAAATCTACTAAAGCATAGCTTAAATCCAGAGTGATTTTTGGCCTCTTGAGGCTACACTTCTAATTGGATGTATAGTAGCTACTTTAGAACTAGCATATGTGAGCTGCCATTCCCCTTTATACTGCCGTGTCTTGGGAAGCCACATACCTGACGAGGTAAAAGAAAAACCCCCAAACCTGAACTACTTACAACACAGCCTTGAAGCTCCATGCACTAATGTGCAAGCTTTGCATTTACTTTTATAGTCCGCTTTATCCTTGGAACTGTTCCCAGAAAGATAGGAAAATTTATTTCAGATTATAGTTTATAGCTAAGCTGGAAAACAACTTTAATGGTTGGTTTCTCTGAAAACTCCAAAATCCATGGACATAGATTTTGTGAATTGGTGTGCTGGAGCGTAGAATAAGATTGGAGCTCCAGAGGTAGGGTAATTCCCAGGCAGCAACACGTCAGGAGTGCGACATTAAAAAGAATTACGTGGGTCTGTGTGGCAGTGCATTTAGGGGCTTGTCTTGGCTGGGAAGGCTTTTGGTTTTAGTGTTGTGTAACTGGGACGTAGGGGTCTACTGGGAGAGTGAGTTAGACATAATCTTTAAGTCCACCCCCTTGCCCTGCATCAAGTGGCTTTGGATGTGGAATGCTCCTGTGATTCTGGGTCTTTTGTGCCCGTTTCCTGAGAGCAGCTCAATTTGGCAAAGCCTTATCCCTTCAGGAAAACTTCTTTGTGGGCCTGGTAGGTCTTTTCATAGTGAAAGAGTCTGACGTTTTCCTGGTGTCCCTTTCATTTCCTTGTTGAAATAAGTAGATGTAGAAGGACAGTTGTCTACCCCTTTGGATCCTTTCTTTACTATCCATGTAATCCAAGTTTTGAGAAAGCCCTTCTCCTCTGAGTGATGAACTGAGAGCAAACATGCTGGAAATATATATCAATAACACACAAAATTCCCCCAGAAATAGTGACATGGCTGCTTTGTGTAGCAATATTACAGAACTAAGTAGGTCATTCTACTAGAGACATCAACTAAAAGGTGAAAACCAGCTTGTGCAAATGAACAGGACTAGGTCTGGGACCCCCTTGGTCCTGTTCATCTCTGGGAGAAGGCTGTAAGTGAACTCAAGAAGAAATGAGACCTCAGCTCTTCACCTAGAAAGCTTTGTCGGCTTGGCTATGCTTTTTGGCTGTGGCCACATATCTTTGCAGAGCTGACATTCCCTAATCTCCACCTCTGGGAATGACCAAATGGATACCAGCTGTGTGCATAGGTATCACACTGCTATCATCCATGCTAGTGGGGTTTATTTCTTTAAATAAGAGGGAAGTTTTTCATTTTTTCTAAAATATCACCTTTGATACTAATTTAGGGTTCAGTGCTCCTGTTCTTAATTGAAATAGCATTTTAGTTTGTAAATATGGAAGAATCAGTACATGCCCTAGTACACTGATAAGTTTTGACACTTGTTCAAAATGTGGGGGGGAACAGTCTTTCCCATTTAATTTCCGAGCTGGTGGAAAAGATTTGTGTTAGGATTTTGTCATAGTTAGTCTGCTGCTCTTATTCAACAGAGTAATAACACAGGGCAAACTAAATAACTAGACAATTCCTTAGGCTGTGGTCAAATCCGGATGGGTTTCAGCTGCTTGCTTCTCCTTTGGGAAGAAGCAGTAGGGCTGGGATGCATGTCCTTCAGTACGATGCAGGATGCTTGCTATGCCTGGAGGAGCCGTTCTGGTCCTTGTGGCCTCACAGTCAGGGGCTGTTGGAAGAAAGATGGCTTTCAAGAAAGAAAGCAACACATAAGGGCCTCGCTCTGTTCCTGCAGTCCTGAAGAAGCTGTAGGCTGGAATAGGAAGCAGGCGGAGGAGAGGACTGGATTTCCCGCGCTGCAGGACGCGGTGGCTCTCTCCTGGGACACAGCGCGGTGCTTCCCAGCATTGTTCGCGCTTCCCTGGCCGCCTGTCAAGTCCCCGGGGGACTTGCAGTACTCGGGACTGCAGATCTCTCTTGGCGAAACTCAGACTTGTGTTTAATTATGCTTCTAATTTCATACAGGCTTCATTAGTGCTTAGTCAAGGATACAAGAGTGACTGTTGTTCTTTTTTAAAAAAAAAAAAATCACATATTTATACTCATTATAAATATGTTCTTAATATTGTATTTCTACTCCTATTCCTTGGAAGTTTGTCGGCCCAAGTGTTTGTACATTGTTTAGCAAACATGGCGAAAGGGGAGTGAATAAATGATTAAATCTTTCTTCCTATTCATTAACTTAGAGTTTGGTTTTTATACTTAGAAAAATATCTGCTGCCTTGGTCTCTTAAAGCTTCAGGTGGGTCACTCGTGCCATGCTCTGCAGAGCAGTAGTGTTAGTTTTAATGTGAAATAGTCAATCGCAGGTTTTGCAAAGCCTGGAGTTATTCAAAGTCCGAGTTTCTCTTCAGGATTGTCAGTGGCCACAGCAAAGGTATGTGTTTGAAATTAAACTGTAGCCGGGTGCTGTGATTTAGCCGTTCAGTTTCTTCCAAAGTGGGGAACACTTGAGGTTTGGCTTTGCCCGTTGCTTCCCTGAAGGTGCAGTGTCCAAAGGGCTGTTCCGACCTGCTGAAGAAATATCCTGGTCTTGTTCTGTTCCTGCCTTGTCCCACAGCATCTACAGGGGGCTGTGCTCTCCTGTGGGGTCGGAAAGTTTTGAGCAATAGCAGAGGCTGTGGAAAGGAGGTGTTTGGGACCATTCCCAGCCCCAGGGGTGTGCTGAGGTGATGTGCTGCCTCAAGAGCGTTTGATAGAAAGAAAATCTGACAAATGATCAATGTGGTGGGAAACAGTTGTTACCTGCTTTTCTTGAGGCACTGTGCAGTGTTATAAATGGATTTTAGCATATATGATTTCCAGTTGCTTCCATGGTTACGAGCCCAATAAACTTGGTTCAAATGTGAGAAAACATTGACAAGTGTGTTTGCAAAGAACTGAAAAAATAAAGGAAGCAACAGGCAGTTTGAGTTTTGCTTTAATAGCCTTGTGTACCAACATTCCCACATACAGGACTGGTTGTTTGCTCAGCTGCCCTGTACAGAACAGTTGACTTCAATGACCTCTAGCAAGGTGTAAGTAACTGGGGAACTCCATATGTCACAGTTCCATGGCCACAAAAAGTTGACCTGGGAAGAAAAAAAATACTTGAATCAAGATTTATTTATCTATTTTTCCACCAAAGAAAAATGAAAGGTTGTCAGCTGTCACCTTGAGGGTTGTTAGTTCGACCCATAATCCCACTTAAGCCTTCTTAAAAGCCTGCTGTACGGAATACTAGCATCTGCGTATTAACAGTAACAAGGTGAATTTCCTTCTTTTGGGGACCAGCTGTAAAATTTGAGTTTTAATACATGAATAAAATCAATCTCTAGATTCACAAATATAAAGCTGTAGATAAAAAGTCAGAAAGGCATCTTGTTAAACTCCCTTTATTTAGACTAGGTGCTTAACTAGATTGCTCCAATGAAAGCTTTGCAGCTTTTTTTTTTCTTTTTTTTTTTTAGGAGCTCACACTGAAAGGGATTTCATCAGCTTCTCTAAATAATCCATGCCAATGTTAAACTATAAGCAAGTTTTTTTCCTAATATCTAACCAATATTTTTTCTGTTCTAAAATACATTAATCAAACCCTGACTTAAACCCAGTGGATATGTGGAATAGTTGACCGTGACCCTTCACGGACAATTTATGCATATGTTTTTATGCTCCTCTCCAGGCTTTTCTTCATTGAGAAACACATTTCCTTCAGCTGCTCTACACAGATCAAGTTTTCCAAATCTCTTTTGCTATTTTTCCAGATTTCAGTCTGTGTGCATTGTTCGTGAAGTATACTCTCCAAACCTGAAAATGGCCCTGCTTCTGGTTACAGTCTTACCCCGATTATTCAAATGAGAATAATTACTCCCTGGATTTCCTATACAATAGTCCTGGTAATGCACCTGGGAATGAGCCTTGCTTTATCTTGGTTTGTAATTGTTTTGCTGTGGCAAAACAGTATACATTCCAAATTATTCACTGCTCTATTCCTTTCCAGGCAGCTAATCCCTGGTTTGTACTCGAACATTTGATTTTCTATCCAAAGTGTAATATCTTGTCCTTGTGATTACCGAAAATCACATTGTTGATTGCAAACCATGTGTCCAGTTTATTAAGACCATTTTTCAATCCTGTCTCCCAGAGTTTTTGCACTCCTTTCCCATTCCTTCTGACCTGTAAAAGGGATATACTTACCTACGTCCATCTTCTCCGTGAATTATATTGACTGTTTCTGCTCCCAGTCTTGCCCAGAGCAGAGTAAATATGGTTTTATTCCAGAGAAATTCAATTTTTTTAGTATTTTTTGGGTTAATTTCAACATCAAGGTATTTTGTATAAACTTGGTCTTGAGAGAGGACTCCACTGCAGATAGAATGAAGACAGCAATACTAAGTTTAATGCTAAGTTTAGAGATCAAACGAAATCACATTCTCCACGAGATTTGGGTTTTCCTCTTTGTTACAACAGAAATTTGCACTTTTGCTGTTCTTTGCAACAGCGCAGGATACTGGACCAGGACTCTGGGCTGTTATGCTCTGAACAGGGAGAGGATGAAAACCAATACTGGTAACTTTAAATGTGCACGTGGCAGGAGACCACCGGGAGGTGATCAAGGTGAGGCCGGGGCTGCCTCCGGCGCCCAAGTGTGCTGAGTTCTGTGGGTATCGCTGCAGGGAGAGCTCCAGGCAAGGGTTTTAGGGAGGATTTTAGAGATGAGCTGGGAACTTCTGTG